CGCTCCTCCTCCATTCTCATCACATGACCATACCATTGTAATTGCCTTCCTTGTATTTTATCTGAAAGAGTATCTCTAATTCCTGTACGGTTTCGTATTTCCTCATTCCTGATTCTTTCCATTCTCGATACTCGACATGACCTTCTAAGATAATCCATTTCCACAACGTCTACTTTATCTCGTTCATTCTTTGTCATCGTCCAACATTCGGCACCATATGTGGTAATTGGTTCTACAATTGCTCTGTATACGCGAAGTTTGGTATGCATCTTTATTTTATTAGACCACAGTAATGAATTCAGTATTCGGATGCATTTTTTCCCTTGGGTTATTCGGTTTTGTACATCTATCTTAACTCTGCCATCTGCTGATATGATGCTTCCTAGATATTTATACTGGTTGCAGCCTTTTATGACTGCGTTTTCAAGCCTCAGATCTGTGGTATTTCCTCCAATTTTTAAATATTTCTGTTTTCGTATCTGATAAATTTGTAAAAATCGTAAAACAAATATCATGAAAATATATTCCTCGAATACATAACGGGGAGAAATGAAGAATCTAAACCCCTACTTAAAAGATACGAGAAGCTATATGAAGATGATCTCTTTTCGGAAGCAACAATACAGGCCGGGGAGGAAGTGCTACATGCCATATCTGCCAACAGAACAAACAGGTGGTGCAGGCTGGTCAGGAGTCTAGACATGAAACAAAACAGTAGACGCGCTTGGAAATTAATTCGGAATCTTGGCAACAATCCCGTTGCCCCGGCAAGAGTGACGGGAATTTCGGGTCATCTTTAAGATTCGGGTCACCGGTTCCGGTTCACTTTAGAGAACCGGATCACTTTGTCGGGTCACGGATCAGTCGGGCCAGTAGTTATTCAATATTACAAGTAAATGTTATGACAACCAAAATTTACTTTGATCTATTAAATTTTACCTAATTAAACTTAAAATTCAAATTTAATTTTTTTAAGCTAATTATATATCAATAACTAAACGTTTCTTTAAGCATACCTTTCTAAGGTCTCTTTAATGTACAAAGTACAAACGATTTTGTAAGGCTTTTACTAAATTAATATTATTATGCAACGAATAATACGCCGTGCCATAAAATATTTCGGGGAATACCATAAATTTTACTTGCTCTGGACAAATAACATTGTGACCAAAAATACAAGAAATACAACAGAATATATAATAACCGAAATAATCACGTGGAGAGTCAACAAATATATACATATTTTTTGCCGATAATATATATTATAAATATAGTTTTTAATTAATATTTTACACCTTATAATTATCAGTAAAATAAATAATATTTTGCTCTCCTTATATCCTCGTAATGACAACCGACGTCCGAACATCAATTCACGATTCACGTTCCTTTCAAACGAGCAAGACCGCAAAATATCTGAAAAGATTCGGATCTGTTTATAAGAACTGGAGATTCAGTGTTCAGCTGACAGCTGACTCCTCGCTTTCGCTTAGAACTACATCATTCCGCGAGTCATATGTGTTTATTACTGACCCGTGATCCGCTAGATTTAATTTTGAGATTCGGGTCAGTTGGATATTTCTGAAGATTCGGCTCATTGAATCGGGTCAGTTCTGATTTGCACATCACTACCCGGCAACTAATCTGACAAAAGTCACACCCGATCAGATAGCCCATCGTCTCCTGACAAATGGTAAGACGACATCAAGGAAGAACAAAGTGAGAGTACAACGAATATCGACGAAGAAGAAGATGTTCTAGGTACCTCTTTTTGTCTGGAGGAGATGAGCGGTGCGATCCACCAAATGAAAGATAATAAAGCGGCTGGCCTAGACGATATACGAACAGAACAAATAAAGCACTTTGGACCAAAAACTCGTGGCGCGTAAAAATGATTAACTGTTGAGTCCGTACATTCCAAATCCCCAAAATCTGAAGGGGAAGCTAGAGTGGTGGCCCTCTTAAAACCAGGAAAGGATCCGGTGGATACAAAGAGTTTTAGACCTGTCTCTCTTTTGCCACCTTTTCAAGGCGTTCGAAATAATGATACTGGACCGGATCGCTGAATCTGTGAACACTAAAATTATTCCTGAACAAGCAGGGTTTAGACCCGGAAACTGCTGCTGAAGTCAAACTTTTAATCTCACCCAACATATTGAAGATGGGTTTGAACGAAAAGAAATAACAGGAGTAGCGTTTGTAGACCTGACTGCCGCCTATGACACAGTTAACCATCAACGGCTAGTAAAACTCTACGAAATTACAAAGGATTTCTGAAAACTGACAAATGCCCTAGAAGACTTAGCATTATACTATGACGAAAACCATCTGAAACCTAATCCTACAAAAACCCAGTGTGTGCTTTCCACCTTAGAAACAAGCATGCCCGAAGGACAGTGGAGGTGGAATGGCGTGGTCAGATGCTGGAACACAATGAGACGCCAAAATACCTCGGCTGGATACCCCTGAATAGAACTGTCTTATCGATATCACTGTCACGATATAAAAAAAAAGTAAGCACCAGAAATAATATCATCCACAAACTAACAAACACAAAATGGAGATCACAACCACATACTCTTCGTACTTCTGCCTTAGCATTATGTTTTTCTTTTGCCAAGTTTGGATCACCAGTGTGGGAAAACTCTGCTCATGCTAAAAACGTCGATGTTGCGTTTAATGAAACGGTTCGTATAATATCTGGTTATAATAAAAGGTCTAACCTATACTTGGAACTCCACCTGCCATCAGAAGACAGGTTACGTCAGACATAGAACGAAAGAAGCAGTAGACGGATCGAACACACCCCTTGTATGACCAACAAGTTCAGCCAAGTAGATTAAGATCTTGGAAAGGCTTTCTGAAAAAATCACGAACCGTTTCCGAAAAGCCAAAGACGCGCCGAATACACCTATGGCAAGCGTCAACTACAACACATTTTGCTCCCTCAGAGGAAATGGCGCTGGACACAATTTGCCGTATCCTACATGGAAAACGCTAAACAGACTAAGAACTGGAGTGTCACGTTGTGCTAGTAACCTGAAGAAATGGGGATACCAAGAGGACGATATCTGCGACTATAGCGCGTTTCAGAATAGTCACCATCTATTATCATGCACAGAGATGAGAGAGACCTGCACAAAAGACCTATTCTTAACGAATGACAGCGCCATCTATGTGGCCAACCATTGGAAACACAAACTTAAAGCTGTTGGTATTCCTGACACGGAAAGTAACTAACCAAGTAATTTCTCTAATAATGTAATACCTATTTGGAAGCTTGAAAATGGTTTGACAAATGTAATATATATATATATATATATATATATATATATATATATATATATATATATATATATATATATATATAAACGGGGATCCTACAGCTTCTGCCGCTTTCCGCATTTCGATCGCCATCTTTTTCTCTCTCTCCAGGTGTCTTCATCAATGGCTCTGTCTTTCATGGTTTCCATAACACCTTGTATCCAAGACTGGGCTGGTCTTCCTCGTTTCCTTCTATTACTCGGATTGTATTCCATAGCTCTCTTTTTGGCCATCTGTTGTCGTCCATCCTCTGTACGTGTCCATACCATATTAACTGTCTAGTTTCTATTCTTTCAGAAGTTGTATGAACTCTATCTGTTTTTCTTCTAACTTCAGAATTAGGTATACGTTCTACTCTTGATATACGGCAAGCTCTTCTCAGGTGGTCCATTTCAACCGTGTCAACTTTTTTCTTTCCTTTTACTGTCATTTGCCAACATTCTGCTCCATATGTAAGAATGGGCTCTACAAGTTGTAGATAGTCATTTTAGTTCTCATAGTAGCTTTGTTGGACCAAAGTATCGAATTCAAAATTTGAACACTTTTCCTGCCTTGTTGCATTCTATAGTCTATATCTAGTTCCGTTGTTCCTTTACTGCAGATAATACTTCCCAAATATTTGTATTCGTAGCACCTTTTCAGTTGTCTAATTTCCAAATCCGGGTCTTCGTCTTCACTGCCTATTCGCATATATTGTGTTTTTGACATATTCATACTCATCCCCCATTTTTCGTATTCATCTTTGAGCTTTCTAAGCATATAATCTGCATCTTCTTCACAGCTTGCAATTAGTACTTGATCATCTGCAAAGAACAACGTTGTCAGATAATGGTTGTTAAGCTTCAACCCCATTCTCGCACATTTTTGTCTCCATTGGTGCAGTGCTTCTTGGATATATATTTTGAATAGGATGGGGGAAAGACAACATCCTTGTCTCAAGCCTTTCGTTACTGTAAATACCCTTGAGAAAGTATTTCCTGTTTTTACAGTGCTTTGAGGACATTTATAGATGTTCAATATTGCTTTTAGATATGTTTTACTAAGGTCCGTTTTCGTCAAGACACTAAATAAGAGTTTTAAAGGAACTGTATCATAAGGCTTCTCCAGATCTATATGTAATATAATGAAAATAAAATATTAACCTTAGTTGTACATTGCGTTTATTTTTCCGCTTGTTTCAAAATTTAAATTGTACTTCAGTCTCTATTCTTATGATTGCACTTAGTAATCGAATATGGAGACAAAAGTAGTCAAATATCTTTTCTTAAACTGAATCATATCTTTAACGTAATCTCATTGCCACATTTTCTGATTTATTCTAGAATCTTTCATGCAATTACTTGAAATAGTTTAATTACTATTGATATTTATTTTGATGTTCTTACTATTATGAGCATACTATTTATGGATATTTATTGTGCTTTATTTTAAGGGTATTTGTTATGTTACTTATTTATATTTTCCTCTCTCCTAACATTCTTGAACTTAACTTATTTTTTTATATAATATATTTTTACTATGGCTATCTAAATGCAATGAATAAAAAGTTCAGCAAAAATTACCTACATAATGAAAATTATTTGTATTTTTTTTAATTATTTTAGATTTTTTTAGAAAATTCCCTTATCTGAAAACCCTAAACTTCACAAAGACATTTAAACAGTTGTTTCTAGTACCTCTCTTGCCTGATTTAACAAAACTGTTGCATTTTCAATTGATTCAGCTAAATCGGACACTTTATTCCAAGTTATAGGACTAAACTGCACAACTGGCGAATTGTTAGAACTGCTTAATGATGAATAGTTATCAGAAAGCATTGAATCCTTGGAACTCAGTGTTCGTCTTTGGACAGACTCTTCAGAAGAACTGGATTTTAGCCCGACTTTCTCCCTGTCGTCATCTCTGAAAAGCATTACATTTTGTTACCAATTTTATCAGTTTTTTTTTTTAAATAATATTTACTTTATTTTTAAAGATATATATTTATCTGGGATTAAGCCTTCTTGTCCATTAACAGTTCCTCTCCACCAGTCATTGGAGACCTGTGAGTACAAAGTAACGGAATCGCCCCTCTTTAAAGATAGTTCTCTATCAGATCTAGCTATAAAGTCAAATTGTGCAGTAGCTTCGATGTTTTCTGAATCATCCTCAGATGGGTATACTTCGGAATCCATGTCTTCTTGAGCCTGATCAGGTGAATCTCCAACATCACTAAAACGTAACAAATATATTACACTACTATGTTACTACAAATATAGACTCACACACAAGAAATCCACAACAAATATAAGTATAACCTAATTTTTGTAAATAATGTATACCTACAATTGAATCGGTGAGTGAAAGAACAATATAAATGTCAAAAACGACAATTGAGTGAAAGAACATGTACACGATACATTTTTGCAAATATATTTTTTCTGGACTTTGTTTTAATAAATTTTATTTGGCTATTTAATAAATAAGGACAAGAAAGCTAGAACTTTACAATGTTTGAAAATATCAAAAAACCGCTAGTTGTTTATGACAGTTTTGGAGATGTATTATTCTTTCACTCACCGATTCAATTGTAGGATTTCTTTAAAATACAATTTTAAAGAAAATACAATACTTTAAAACAGTTTTAAATTATTCAAAGTTAAATATTGTTTCGTCTCTGTGTCTCTTTTAAAAGGTTAAAAACGATGAAAAAACAAAGAAACGATCAAGAGAATACAAAGAAAAAGATAAAAAGGATTCAGCTGCAGACTTACTTGTTGCTCCTACTTTGGATACTGAAGCCGTTAAGTTGTGTTCATTTTTGAAGGCTTCAGATATTTATTTCAAAACGAAACTGTGTAACCATAATTACACAATATATAATTTGAGAACTACTACTGGTGGAGTGAAGTTGAGGGTAGAGTGAAATCCTCAAATTCCACATCATTGTTAGGTGCTCATACTCAAAATTTAATACAAGAATGGAATCCCACAGTCCCAAGATTAATAATTATGACTTGGTCAGATGATTGTGGCTACCAGAACAAAAACAGTTTTGTCCAATGCCCTTCTACAGTTACCCGTTACAACAAATTTCACAATGAATCAAAAATATTAGAAGTGAGGCATACACAAATGGAGGTGGATTCTGCCCATGCAAACATAGAGAGGCGTCTGATCAACAGAACTTGCCATCAGACTATTTTTCAGCGACAAAGAAAGCGCGATTGAAACCAAATCCATACCAGCATAGGTAGTAGCACCATGTAGTGTATGAAGATTTCAAAAACTTCGTGGATATCAAGTGGAAAGTACTACTCATCAATTAGAACAGACAAAAAGGTGGCCAATCCAACTGTGAATACTGTGTGCCATTTTCAATAATTGCCCAGTGGAGAGATAAGGCATATATTGAATTTTAATAATGATTTTCAATGTCTGCCTCGAAGTTCACAATCAGTACTCAGAAATGTAATTTATTCAGCACTGTAGTCCACCCGAGTCAAATAGCAAAACCTACAGCAGCTGAAGTTTGCCATACCAAAAGATGTCTATCACTTTTCGATACTATCCCAAATTGTTTTTTTCGTTTTCTATAAAATTGCATTGTATACAGGTTTCCATTCTTCACGATCGATATAAACAGAATGGATGAACGCTAAATAACTAAACAAACAACCAATTACAAACCGAAAGGTAGAAGTGTAGGACACATTGAAAAGATGGAGCGAATTTTCATGACGCAATAGGTAACAAATAAACATGGACATGACATGCAACTCCAAGTAAACAAAGTACAAGAAGAATCAAAGAAGGTTGGTCTAGAAATAAACATCAACAAAACCAAAGAAATGCGATTTGGTACCAGAAACAACCAACCTATTATGATCAACGACCAGAAAATTGAGAGAGTAGCGGAATTTGTATATCTAGGCAGCATAATTGACTGTAATGGGGGTACAGAGCGTGATGTACATGAAAGAATAAATAAGGCTCGCAACGCCTACAACATGCTTAACAACATATGGAAATCCAGGATTTACCCAACTAAAACGAAATTAAAAATCTTCAACACAAATGTAAAAGCTGTATTACTGTATAGCTGCGAAACGTGGAAGATATCAGCACCCATAGTACACCAATTACAAGTTTTCATCAATAGAGCGTTACGAAAAATCCTTCGTATATTTTGGCCTAACCGAATCTCCAATGAAAATTTATGGAACCAAAGCAACCTAGAAAATGTAATAAGCAAATAAGGCGAAGAAAATGGAGATGGCTGGGCCACACACTCCGTAGACCGCCAAATGACATTGCCAGGACAGCGCTGGATTGGAATCCCCAAGGCCGACGGAAAGTAGGCAGACCTAAGGGAACTTGAAGAAGGACAGTACTGGACGAAGGGAGAAAAATGGGAAAATCCTGGCTTGAAATCAAAGCACTAGCCAGAAATAGAGTTCGCTGGAGACACTTTGTGGAAGCCCTATGTTCCTCTTAGGAATCTTGGGACTATATATATATAATAGGTAACAAATGCCTAAACCTTTGAACGAAAAGAAAAAAACCGAAAGTTTAAAAGAAATAGTTATAAAATTTATAATAATTATAATTATATTATAAATATACAAAGTGTATATTTAGTATTGAACTGAAAGTGATTTTTTAAAGAAATTCTCATTTTTACATACTAAGCAAAGAACTTTTCATCTTATCCTTATATTTAGGAAAAAATGTATTTTAATTTGACAAAGTAATACTTACTGGTCTTCAGAATTCGGAGAAATATACTTTTCGTAAACAGTTCCTCCATCGTTCGGAAAAATGTCGTCGTTGAATAGAATAATATTTTTAATAAGTTCATTGACTTGATTCTGGTATTGTACTTGGTCTTTGTCCTCTGGTACAGGAACTAACGTGGGACCAAAGCAAATGGCTAGGTTATAAGGGTCCATCATATTTTCATCAGAGAATTCTGATAAGTGATTTAAAAAAGCGAATAAATATCTGAGTACCACTACTACTGATCTCGGAAGACTACCCATCAGTTCCCTCATTCTGACTATGAAATCTTGCTTAGAATCTAATTCTGAAAAAAGGCAAGATTAAAATATGAATATGACACTATGAATAGTATTTTTTGACATTTATGGAAATTAACAATAAACATCACAAAACACTATTTTTTACAAATACTGTATTATTCTGTACATATTTTTCAATGCTTTACTCCTTAATTCTGGCACTTCTGATATCTAAACCAATTGTAAATTTGTAGATCCACTCAATAATATGGACCTAACATGACAAGACTGGACTATTTCTTGCAATTTACAATAAGAGTTGTGAAGACTGAACCAGGGCTTCCCAAACTTATTCGTACTATGACGCCCTTGGGACTTTGCTATTTTTTTGCGACGCTTCCTCAACCCAACCCACAATAATACTTACCAATTTTAGTACTAGCCTAGTAAGAGGTTATAGTTATAACAAAAATGAACATTTTATTTATGTACTTTGAAAATTAAGGCAATTATATCGAGCACAAGTTTAATCAAATCTTGCCCAAGTACTTTCGCTTAATATAGCATCTTCAGAGGCATTTCGTCAAATAGGGGCTATCCAGCAAGCGCAGAATGTGATAACCAGTTTAAAATTAATTAAAATAGTTCTACGCTACATTCTTTGGCGGTAACAGGAGAAAGAATCAGGAGAGAATATTTTTTTATTTAATTTACTTATTAATACATATATTTTATACTTATTTAAAATCAAAGACACGCGACGCCCCTGGGGACAACGCAGGGCATCTCTTCGCACAGTTTGGGAAACTCTGGACTAAGCGATGCAATGAAGCAATAAACCTACCAAATTTTTGCAGTAGAATAGACTTAATACAATTTTTGCATTAAATTTGTATGAGTATCAGGAAATTTGTGAACAAAAATGATGATGTGGAAATTAAAATTGCATTTAAACAAGGAAAATGCATTTTCAAAAGTGCATTTTGAAGTGATAAATAACCATATATTTGTAAATCGGAAATAATTTCAATTAGACTACTCAGGGGTTTCTGAGGTTACTGAATTTGAATAAAATGACGAAGATGTTCTCCGAGGCACCTGGGCCTCGTCTCCTGGAGTTTTTTTTTTGGAAATTCGATACAAAAGCAGTGCAAATTCGTTACTTGGGACTTTTTGGGGTCGTTGAATACTAATATCATGTCGGCGACGATGTGCGAGGTACCTGGTGCCAGCACGGCCTTGGCTTCTAGAAATTTGTCGAAATTCGATACAAAATCAATGCAAACCCGTTACTCGGTGATTTTGGGGTCCCTAAACACTAATATCATGACGACGATAATGTGCGAAGGACCCGGGACATGGGACGGCATCCGCTCCTGGAGTTTTGTGTAAATTCGATACAAAATCGGTGCAAAATCATTACTTGCTGGTTTTGGGGTCGCCGAGCATTAATATGTCAGGCGGGCGTCATCTCCTAGGGTTTTCGATACAAAATCAATGCAAACTCATTACTCGCTGGTTTTTGGGGTCGCTGAACACTAATATAATGTTGGCGACGATGTGCGAGGTACCTGGTGCCCAGGACAGCTTTTGGACCTGGCGTTTTGTGAAATTCGATAAAAAATCAGTGCAAAATCATTATCATAGGCGTTTTTGGGGTCGCTGAACATTAACATCATGTCGGCGATGGTGTCCGAAGCATCTTGTTCTCAGAAGAGATCTTTTCTCTTGCGGTTTGTGCATCGGAGACCATCACCATTATGATATTTGTGTTTAGCGACTCCAAAAAACCCCAAGTACCGAGTGTGCACTGATTTTGTATCGAATTTCCACAAAACTCTAGGAGACCAGGCCCATTCTGGTCACCATGGGCATCGGAAACCATCACCGTCATGATAACTGTGATCAGCGATCCCAAAAACTCCCGAGTAACGAATTTGCACTGATTTTATATCGAATTTCCACAAAACTCGAGGAGACGGGGCCCATGTTCACCTGGTACCTCGAAGACCATCACCGTCAAGATACTCGTGTACAGTGACCCCAAAAACCCACGATTAGTAATATTGAACTCATTTCCGTCAATTATTATTAAATTACAAATTTGGAAAATGCATTTTCCTTGTTCAATGATGCAATTTTTGTTTCCACATCATCATTTTTGATTCATCTTACTGCAAAAATGTGGTAGCTTTTGGGCTTTTATTGCTCCATTGTCTCGCCTAGACGATTTTATTTAGCTAATTTTAGAGAAAACTTACGTGCTATTTCCATGAATTGTTCAAAATAGATAATCGGGAAAAGTGGCTCCCTTAACTCTCGGAGGTACAACTTCAAGACACCCGCGACACTGTTTATATCAGAAGCATCTGTCATATCTGCTAAGGGATCTTCGCCCCTCTCAAACCATTCTCGAAAATTGTTTATCTCTACCTGGGAACCAGAGACTCTGAATATTCCTTGATGGTGCAAACCTGCAAAATAGTTCTAAATAGCATGTGCATATACATAACGTGGATTTTTAATTTAGTTTTGCTTTTATTTTAGATCATAACGGATAACGTCATGAGTCGTCATCTTTTTGAATCCTATGTTTTTTCTGTCACAATTTAATGGACAATGAAATTTTATGAATGGCAACACAGGGTTATTGATTAGTGTGATACAGCTCTGTATTTACAATTTTGAGTTTCACATTACAAAATTAGTTAAAATGTTACAGGGTGTGGCTCACACAGTGGCAGAGCTTTATCACCCTAATCAACCATCCTGTATATATACATATATGAACTACAAACAATAATTACTAGTTAAATATACAAAAAAATTACCATATAAATTTATCACCCTGATACATGATCTCATGATGAGAGGTATTTCTTGATTTGTGGCCTCCTGGTACTCTTCGATAGAGCCTCCAAACAGTTTGGGTTGTCCGCTCATTTGCAGTCTTCCGATTCTTTTGCGCTTTGGTGTTTTAATGACAGGTTTGATCGAATTGCAAAAATCTGGTGCTTCTGCCAGCAAAGATTGTCTTAAGAACTCCTGCTTGGCATCTAGTCGTGCAATTTTTGTTGAGCCTAAAAGGTATTCTCGAAATTTCTGAAAACAAAAATTCAAAATCAGATATAATTGTAAAATTCCGGTGGGAAATTATGTTGTTCTAAAATATTTTTGACTTTTCTGATTTTCCGAATGATAAACCCTTGTGGGCTACATACTTTAATTGGTCTGTCCTACTAAATATAACACTTCTTTTGTGTCATATGGGTTGATTTTTGCTAAAATTTAAATATCATCCAGGCCAAATTTCTTTCATAACCCAACTTGTAGTTATTCGACAGTTGTTGCTGTTGTATTGTAAAAATAAGTAAAATTACAAACTCGCATCAGCCTGTAAGGCTATTAGCGAAAAAAGAAAAAGTATTAATAATAATTAAATAGCGTAACAATTAAATTTTGTATAAATACATATCGCTTCTCCAGAGCAACATCGACGCAAGTACAGATTACTAAAATGCTGGAAAATTGACTTTTAAAAATATTTTTACAGCAAAGTAAACAAAGTGAAAGTTTAAGTGAATATTTTTGAAACTGAAATTACTTTTTTAATGGTAAATTTAGTCTAATTTTAAATGACAATCTTAGTGTTTTGATAATAAAACTTTTAGAGTCTACACAGATCTCAGAACTTTGCAGCCTCCCAGTTGCGTCATTGTTCTTCCAATGTTTTTCAAATAGTTTCTGAATCGGTTTGAGTTGGTCTACAATAGTAACATTAAAAAAATTTAAAGAAAGGTTTAGGTATATAATTTTATTGTCAGTAAATAATACAAACTACTCAAAATGATAAAAAATAACAAAAACACTACTCAGAATTACTAAAAAGTAACATTTGTTTTTTGTACACCTTTAAAAAAATTAACAAAAACATTCACAATTCAAAACAAGCTATTAAAAAAAGGTTCGTAATATTTGGGAATTATATTACTTGATAATAAATTTTCTAGGTCCCTTTTCTTATTTTCAGAGATCGGAATTTTTGAAATGTATGCAGGTCTTTTTCTAACATCTACATTATCATCTGTCCTTGTCACTCGTCTACTTTTTACGGTTATAGCATAGGCCTGATTCCAATCCACCTGTTTGTAGCTGGTTTTGTAAAAGAACCTATCACTTTCCTTCTCAAATCGAATTATTTTAATATCTGACAATTTTATTTGTTCGCCGTGTATATTTTTCTGGCAGTTGAAGCCGATGTCGTTAGCAAGCGTTTTCAAATCGATGAAGTCATTGTAACTTAATTCTTTTACTAGAAGAGGGTTTCCTTTTTTCTTTGCGTTTCTAATAATCGACACAATTTGATCGGGAACGTATATCGGTCCTGACTTTTTAGCTCTTTTCATAGCTTTTTCGATGATACTGTGGACTACATCACCTTCGTTCTGTGTATGACCTCGGATGAGATACTTGTGTGTTATGGAATTTAACTGAAACTTCTTAATTGCGTAGTAATACATTGCAAGGACAAATCTGTTTTTTTGCTGACCACCGCAGTTATCGGAATAAAGAATTATGTCAGATTGAGGATGTGTATTAGCGATTTCTTCAAGAAATGAAAGGACACATGAACCAATTTCGACTGCTCCTCTATGTCCTAGACCTTCATGCCAGAAGTAACAGGATGTCTTGTCATTGCCTATTTCTGATATCGTAAAATTAAAACAATTTAATCTTGATTTATAGTAAAAAGCTGATGTTTGTCCCATAGGTACTGGCAGGACAGCTTGTAGGTCATACATTACCAAAACTGTATTTGATCCATCTTCTTTTGCTTTTTCTTTGTCTGAAAGCTTTCTCAGTTCTACTTAGTTCTTTTTCCTCTTGATGTGACTTATACTGACATTGTAATTTTTCTTTTTCTTCGTCAGGCGCGTTTTTAAATGATTCACACAGGTCGCATTGGTCTTTCTTTGGGAAAAAGAAACCAATATTGAATTGTGTATTAAATATGTAGGCGTAGGCGTCATAGTTTGCAGCAGGCTGGCCCAAATCGTCTTGTTGCTTTTTATAGTGTCTGTGCATTTCTGCAATCGATAAACCGCCATCTATAAACTCTCTTGATGTGTTAGCCCTTTGGTAATGGCTCTCTGTACGGGGTATAGAATTTATATGTGATTTTACAGACACCATCATTTCAGGGTTCATCTTTACCTGTTGACCATGTTTTCCACGTTTATCTTGCGGTACAATTCCAGACCCAGAAGCTTTTGCTTGGATAATTGTTCTAATTGATCTCTCCTTAATGCCAAAAGTGTTCATCAGGTATGTTTACATACACGCATTTTTTTTCCATTGTGAAGCAGATAAAAAGCACAGCTCTGTCTTCTAGGTGTTTGGATAGTTCTTATGCGGCGATAACTCAACTGAAGTGGTTCAATACAAGAAGACAAATAATCACGTTGTCTCTGCAGTGATCCTAGATTCCAATACTGCTGAAAGAAATCAGCTCTATGGTCTTCGCTAAACTTCTCTGAACACTTCTGAATGCAACGATTAGAGCAAGTAGGTCCCATTGTTTTTTTATTCACAACTTTTCCAGTTCTTGAAATATAACTTTTTCCTGAATTCTTAAGGAGTTTAGCTTTATTTTTTCGCCATTCTTCTGGATTTCTTACTCTCTTCTTACCTTTTTTGATGAGCGTACAATTTTCTGTATTATTCAGAGGACTTATTTTATTTTCAGAAAATAGACTTCTGGGTCTCTTTTTCTCTTTTATGGTAGGGGTCGAATTTGTTTCACTTTCCGACGATATATTATTTTCTGATGGTACATAGTTGTCACTATCTTCTCCAAATAAGCTGTTCTCATCATCTGAGGAATGTTGCTCATTATAGACTGTTCGAGACATTTCTCTCAAAGTGATCTTGGTTGATGAGTGGGTTTCAACAGAATATGATGTACTGGGTTGTGTTTCATAATTGTTTGAAATACGTAGATTATCTAAAAGTAATTAATAATCAATAAAAGTAATTTTGATTAAAAAAGGAAAGTACCTACCTGGTCCAAGTTCACAAGGCTTATGTAGGAACATAATATTAGGGTCTAAACTCGAGGAATTCGGACTTAAATTCACTGGCTGCAATTCTGATAAAATGACCGCATCATTGAGTGTTTCTGAAATATTATTGTCTTCCAATACTGATGGTTCCTCTGGAGTACTGTTCTCTTCTTGTAAATTGTGAGTGGCTAAATGAAGTATCAGCTCAATCCTTTTCATTATTCAAGATTATATTCGCGTTTTATTTCTTCACTGAAATACAAAAAAATCTATTATATTGACTGTTTTTACACACACTATTTCACACAAATATTCAATGTTATTTGAGTTAACCATGACATAAATACTGGTTAAGTGACTATAAAATTTACTATTCAAAAACCATAACGACGTAAATGTGTACTTACGGCTTTAATCATCTAGCAAGTCGCCAGAGATATCAAATTTTCTAGGCGAACAATAACACAACTGTCCGTTACGCTGATGTTTCTCTGAGATTACACCAAAACTTTATTTTATTTTGTCACAATCTACACTTATGTCGTTGTAGAAATATAACCGAAGTGTTCCGTTCGACAGTCTTTGAACAACTGACATTTGCGGCGATTTCGTTCCAACAATATGGCAGAAAGTACATAATTTTGACAACGACGCAACTGCTTTCTAGCGGCCAATAAATGTACTACCTTTATGGTATTGTTCCATCCGATAGAATGGCACGTTCTGACTCTTTTGACACATGTAACTCAAAACTGCAAAAAATTGCACTTACGTCTTGTTGCTCCGGAGAAGCGATATATTGTCTTTAGATATTGGATAATCACTTTGGCACCGCACTTTAAGAACAATTCTCTCAAATTCTCCGCGATTCCGAATTTACATCTTTCCGCACTGTGTAAAGAGGACTCCACTAGAAGGTGTTTTACTGTTAGCGGGGTCTCGCAAGCATAACATTCCGGTTGGGGATCCCTTGTCATCAGATGTCCATAACCAAGTCGCAGTCGTGTGATGATAACCTGAGAAAAACGATTAGTGGAACTATCAGACCATGGTTGAAATATTGGTTTTATCTCAAGTAATTTCTGTTTTTTGTGCCATCTGCTACTCCATATGTTGCTATTTTGCTGTGGAAATATGATTTGAGATCTGTCGCTGGAATTTTTGGATAGAACTCAATAATTGTGTCAAGGCTTCTCGTGCATATTTATCCGCCAGCTCGTTTGACGCGATTCCAATATGAGATGCACCCACAGGAAAGCAATGTTTCTGTGATTTAGGTTGTGCAATTCTTGTCTACTGAGTTTGGCCACAGGATGGGAAGAATAGATTTTTGAGATGATTTCTAGAGACTTAGTGAGTCAGTAATTATTAAGAAGTTAATTCGGGACATTTTGTAACATGACATATGGCTTTATACATTGCAAAAAGATCTCCTATTACAAAGGCATATGCTACACAATGCCCTGTTTTAGATCCATCTGTGAATAACTGTTTAAAGGAAGAAAATTGAGAAATTAAGGTTTGATGTTTAGAATTAATTAGGTGACGATTGCTTTCTTTCTTATTTTCTGATAACAGATCCAAATTTATGTGAGAAGATATTAGCCAAGGAGGGGAAGTTGGCATCTTACTAGGATAGATTTCGGGGACTTTAAGGTTTAATTCATTTATAATTCGTCTGCATCTTTCGTAAAAGGGAATGTGGGTTTTTGCGTGCTGGATATTCGAGTAGCGAATGATTTGGTGAAATTGTAAAGAGTACCGCTTCGATGCATATGAGAGCATTAATTCCTGTCTTCTTAAATCTAATGGTAGTTCACCGAGTTCGGCCTGAAGACTTAAGATAGGGGTTGTTATAAATGCACCACTTATTATTCAAAGAGCGTTATTTTGAATGGTATCTAAAACTTTTAGAGTTGTTGCTGAAGCAGACGAATAAGCGTGGCATCCATAATCGATCTTAAAAATCGAGTAAATAAAATGTATATATAATATGAGTAGAGTTCTACCGTCTGCTCCCCAGTTCGTTCCAGGAAGACA